AGAAAAAAAAGCTTTTGAAATTTCGCCCAGCTTTATTTTAATTCACTAAGCCTGTGACTATGGTGGGGATGAAACCAAGATAGAAATATTCTGTATCTTTGAGATACCATATGTTGTATTCAAGTCAAGCAGTATAATCTTTGACTTCGAAGATTTGTTTGTGTTGTTTTTTTTTTTAAATCTTGGTAGGGATTATATAAACACATACTTAAATGCTTATTATTTATGGGCCTTGTCCTACACTAACAAAAATTAAGGTTCTAAGAAACAATCTTATTTCTGTAGAGTGCTTTTACGATAGTAACATGTTTAGGCAGAAATTTCCTTAATAGCTTGCATGCGTGGCAAGTACTGTTTCAATGATAGCAGTTTGAAGCAAGTTCCTGTACAGGTTTACATCTCAGTTGGTTTAGTGCCAGGGTGATTTGTGGTGTCTGCCCTGACAGTACAAAGATCCAGTCTCATTGAAACGTCTTTTATTGAGTGTTTCTGGACTGAGACTGTTTTGTCATGGTTCTGTGAGGCCATTCCCAGTCATATGAACACAGGTACAGGGTGAAATCGCAATTGTTCTGTCTGCTAGGATGAATATATCTATTGTGAAATATTTTGCTTAAACTGGCTCAGTTAGAAATTGCTTAATTCACTCCCCAAAATAGGGCCTTCATGTCAGATTCACTGTACAAAAGGAAAAACTTGTGAGTGGTATAATATGTGATTAAACTTTACTGTGTAGGCATGCACAAGATTTCTAGCTGAGAGAAGCTGGTTTATTCAGCTGCATGAAAATTCCTTCAAACTGCATGGAAACCTGCTTGGCTGCCTTGTGCCCCTACAGGAATGCTGCAGTATCTGTTCAGCAGCTTTGTGTGAAAGTATCGTAAGGGTGATTGAAAGCCATGGGATGCGTATTTGAAATAAGAGTGGTAGGAAATACCTGACATAAATATACTGTAATTTTTTGATAAAAATAAATTTAAAGATAAAATCACTAAGTTGTCTGATTAAGGGATTTCTCAAGGAATTTGCCATGTGCTTGTGTAACATAAAACCTAAATTTCCAGTGTTATAAACTTTGAGAAATCAAAAAATACTAATTTATCACAAAGTCCTAATTTGTGGGGGTTTTTTGAGAACTGTTCTTAGCTTGATGATGCAAAAGATGTGTTCAAACTTCCAAACTGCTCTTTCTTCCCGGTAATAACCTGGATTTCTTGTTTTAATGGCACGTAGTAGCAGTATTTTGTGTGCTATATGAGTGGCTATATAGTTACCTGTGTGTTCTGCAGCTGCCTCAGAGAGATGTCTTGAGTTAAATCTGCCAGCAGCTTAAAGATATCTTGGATTGTTTACAACATGTTTGTGATGTATGCAGAACTGAATTGAAGTGCGAACTTCAACTTCAGAATAATCTGAATCACGTTTTAGGGTTTTTGACTATATGACTAGATATCTGTGACTGTAAGAACTGACTGTGTGTACAGTTCTGTATTTGTGTGTTCTCTTTTGCTAGAGCAAGTTGTGGATTAGCAGGTACCCAATTTAAATTCTTAGTGGTGAACATATAAATCTAGTCTTGGTCTAATGTGTTTTTTCTCTGGCACTTCAATCTTCACAGAGAACGCAAAGCAGAATGTGATCTATCATTTTCTTCAGTTTCTTAAAATGGGAGGTCATGCAGTGTTTAAAATCCAGTTCCTACTTAATAATGAATGCCGTTCAGTGTTCTTTCTGAAATAAATCTGTGATTTCTAATTCAAATTCTTGCGAAGTTTCTTGCTCCAGGTGATATAAAGTCAATTAGAAGTCAGCTTTGTTAGTCCCAGCACAGAAGTAAAGGAGTTGAAGTACTTTTTAATACTCTAGAGTTAGGTATTGGCACATTAAGGGGTCAGCTAGGATAAATAAGATAGTATAGTTGCATTTTACTCTTTCTGATCAATAAATATCTGTTACTAAATCTATTTTCTAAAACTTTCAGCAGCACTGAATATTCCAACTGGTGTGTTTGTGTGTGTGTGTGTGAAAAGTCTGTATGTTTTCCTCAGTTGTCTTGAGAGTTACGACAGCATATAAAATCTTAATCTCTGGCTTAATAATTGCAATATTTTGCAACACACTATGCTGTTTCAGTAGCAGGCAAACTGAAAAATGTAATGATTCTTATGGAATGTTTTAAATCATAACCTGTATATTTCCTGTGAGCTTGATCAGATAAAATCTAAGCCACTGCAAGGACACTTGGTGTTCACTGATGCATGGCTAAACAACATACAATCCTTATATGCTTTGGAATTTAACCAGTGTAAATTAATCATTTGTTTAAAACTACACAAAAGTATTTTTGCAGACAATATCCTGAAGTTGCTGTTGATTTTGAGCAGTATTAAAAGGTGTTTAATTTTTTCTGTACTTGTAGCTTATAGCTCATTATAGGATTGTGAGCTCCGTATTAGGCTAAAATATAAAAAGGAAATGTGTTCATTAATATTTTTATTTCTAAAAGCCATTTCTCTTGTTGTCTTTTCCCATGTATTATTCATCTTTTGGAAAGAACCATCAATGCCTGAAGATGCCTTTATAATTCATTTTTCTTAGTGCTTCTTCTTTAGCCAGTCCATACATTAATATTCTGCATCCCAAGAGAATAATGATATATTGCTTTGAAAAATAACAAGAACCCTGTGGTTACATTAGGCCTTGAAAGATGATCATAGCAGGATTATTCACAACTGTAGAAATTTCTGCCACTGCAACTTCCTTTAGGAAAAAATTATAATTAGAGAAACTCGCGGGTTATTCAGAGGAGGAATGAAAGCAGCCTCCACTAGGGCCAGTGGCAATCTTTGCTGTGTTACAGACAATACATTCTCTATCTTAAATTTAGTATAACATTTTTATGGCATCGAATATACAAAACATGTTTGCTTGAGAACTTGAAAATGGGAAATGTTTTACAAAGTATAGTACAAATCAATAGAACTTTTCAGATCAAGTAAGCAAAAATATCCTCTCATTATAAAGAACAATGTTTAAAAGAATGATACACTATGCTGGTTTTTAAGGGACTTTTTATGGATCTGTTTTATGTGTATTGCTTTAATGTTTGTTTTTGTTTTAATGTTGGAGAAAACATGCTGTTATTTTAGATGGAGTACTAAATCAGTTTAAATGCAGAACTTGGTTCTTAAATGTATAGTTATAAAAGCTGAGTCCGTAAAGTCTGTCAGTTAAATAACACCACTTCAGTACCTACCTGCCCTTCTGGGGACAGAGTTTTATGATGCATCCTGCAGGACAGCCAATTTAGGCAGTGGTACAATAAAGGAAATGGATTATAGATATCCCTGATTTCAAATGCAGAACTCTCAAATCTAGAGACTGTTAGGAGAAATTAGCTCAACTTACCTTAGTTTCATAAAAGGCCTTTGAAAAAACCTTGTAATAACATCCTTTTCCCTGAGAACAATCCTGTCTGTACAACCAACAAATATTGCATTAGAATGAAAATAAAGCAAAGTGAAGTATAAGAATCTTTTTTTTGGTGAGAGGGAACAAGCTAGTATTACAATACAAATTTTTAGCAACTCAGTTACAATACTGGAATATATCCAAAGAAAACATACAGGGCAGCCACTTTCCAAAACTAAATTTCTTGCACTAATGTTGATATCAGCACATTTAGCTACAGTAATTTATATGGTAGTTGAGTCACTGTGCTGGAAAGTATACCAAAAAATAAGCCAGAAAAACATGAATGTGCCAAAAGAAAGTGAAGAAATAGTTATTTTATTAATTTTAAGAAATAATTTGAAAAAAAACTGCATAGAAGCTAGGAAGAAAGAACTGAAATTCTGCACACGTTATCTACATTGCTTTTAAAGGACTGGTGCCTGAAAATAAGTCAGATGATCTCCATGCAGTCAGAAATGGGTAGTGATCTGTGAGAAAAGAGACAACATGTGAGGGTGCTCACAAGAAGGCTTCTTAATGAGAGAAGGGAGAAAGAAAAGGAAATATTAGAAAAATAAAGAAGGCAAATTCATGTCAGTATAGTATTACAAGTAGTTTCTATTGTAAATTCTTGAAGCTAATCTTTAATAACTGAACTATGCATTTATCAGTAATCTTTATTTCTTAAGGAAGTACACACAGGTACTTTCAGTTACCTGTTCTGTACTTGGATACTGAGGGAAGTAACAGTCCTGTGAGACCGTCAAGACAATTTCATAGTCTCGTAACTCTCCTGATTGCTAGCAAACTGGAGCATTTCTTGATTCAAAGTTGGTCTCTGGCTTAGTTAAAGCAGTGCTCTTCTATGCAAAACTCACAAGTGAACTTCCGATAGTTAAAATAGTAATAAGCCTGCAGCTTGTTTTATGGTTTTCCTGCTCTTCATGAGGTTATAACTTTCAGATTTCCCAGAATTCTAAATATTATGCAATTGATCAAAACCATAATTTTATCATAAAAGTATGTGGATGAAATAAAACAGAAAAGCAGCTCATGACAGAGATATCAAAATTGTTCCATTTTAGTGAGAGAATTGACTGCACTTTTTTCCCCAGGGGGTTGATACTTGGTTGTTAAAAAGTAACCTAGAGTAACTTTTCATATATAATGGCATAGCTTTGATGATCTACTTATGTTTTAATCAATCAGAATTAATTTCTTCAATTATTTTCATTCCATTCTTAAAATGCACCAGGAGACTGATTTAAGCATAGGCAAGTTTTTCTGTGAATTGGAATGCTTTTTGAATCCCCCCCAGTCACTCTTGTCTTTTTGTGTCTGTTTTTTTAGGAACCTCAACAGCCCATGCTTGGAAACAATCATATCACTGAGACATTTAATCAGTTACTTTAAACAGTTGAAATAGAATGTTGTGAAAGTTTAAAACAAAAAAAAAAAACCCTAACTGACTTTTTTTACACAGTACTTTTTTTGTCAGGCCATAGGACAGGAAGTTGAATTTACAAATTCCGTATTTCATTTTACAGAGCTACTAGAGAAGACCCTCAGAAGAGAGGAAGAAATGGGAGCTCTTCAGGTATGCTTTCTACTTAGTTAACGAGATACACTTTTTCTCACCCTTAAAATTACCGAATTGTATTACAGCATTATGTTTTGCTGAACTCCCATGTATCCTAAATTCAGCTTTTGAAATAAATGCAACCAGATACAGAATTGATAGCTAGTAAAAGTCACTGCTGAGTTTCTGTCCACCGATTTAGTTGCACATTAGAGAATACTGAATGAAGTAGTCAGTGTTCTCCTCTGAGACAATAAATCTAGTTCATCAGTGAAAAGAATGCTGCTTTTAAGTCACACTATATACTGGAGTTTTTATGTTACAGTGAAACTGTATGAATAAAGGCAGTGCAAATCTGTATTCAGAAATGCAGAAATGCTTTGTATTCTACTTCATTGGTTGGGTTAGATTTTCTGGGCTGTGTTATTTTCTTCTAGATCTCCAAATGAAACTGAAAGTAAAAGTTTTTAAGAAAGTATTTTACATCTCTGAAACGTTAAATGTCCATAATCACCTTCCTGAGGAAGAAGGGACCAGTTAGTACTGGCTAGAACTTGACACAATACTGTAAATTCTCATTGTGTGTCATTTAGCAGTAAAGCTGCTTGTGCTAAGCACTTTAAATTTGCTTGTAGAAAATAAGACTTACCCTAGGCTTAGCTTTGGAATAGTATTTAAACATTAGAGTCAAAGAAAACATACTCTTTTGAAATGAAAAGGGCTAGGAAAGCAAAGCCAGTCTGGAATGTCTTAAGTTGTGAGGCTTGGGAGGTTATTAGGGAGGGTAATGTATGTAATCTTCAGAATACAGAAGGAAAAAAGGAAATGTTTAACAACAAATTACAGGAAGCAATACCCAAAAAGAATATTAGAAAGTTTAGATGCGTTATGAAGAGTGTATCAATGAAGCAGCATTTTATAAGTGTGCTGCAAAGTGAAATTATGTATTGCCCTGAGTTTTGTCAACAGGAGTTTGTTTGAAGATAAGCCTTCTCTTCTCATACAATAAATAGGAGGCATTTTGAAGGCTAGACATATCAAAGAGTTAGTGTAGAATCAATTTGATCCAGTAAGAAGAGGCAAGTTGCAAGACCTAAAAGTTACACAACGCACCAATCCAGCTGTTTCCTGTTCAAACAAAAATCTTGGCTTAGCTTTCTGGCAGCTCAAGTTCAACAAGGCTGAGAGCTTGTCTGCGCAAGCAGTTTATACAGGTGCATATCTAGTTACATCAATGTAAAAAGATCTCCTTTCATGTGAAGCAATTTTGCATCTGCTTTCATGTGAAGCTCTATAGTTGACAAATTGTTCTAATGATCTTGCTTCTGATTGAATGAGGATTAATGTTATACTGCAGAAAGTTGCATCATAATACTGTCTGGTCATATATATGCTTGCCTGAATTTCTGATGGTCTGTCAAGTTCCTGATCAAATTGCTTTGTGCCCTTCCCTAACTGGTGGTTCTGGTTATATGTGTGACTTCTACTGTTCTGACGCTATTTTTGTATTCAAATACTTGAGAGGAGTTCTCCGCTCCTTCAGATGCCCATTCTTTCACAATCAAAGTACTCAGCAAAAATATCTGTTGTTCTTCTAGACATCCAGTGTAGTCAATATTTTTCCAATTTTTTCCTGTCTGGGATCGTCTTATAACCTTGCTAGCAAATATCGTTGAAAAACAACTCATGTCATCATGACTGAATCTCCCAAAGCTGTTGCATGTCAATATATAAAACAGAGGAAGAGAAAGTGAGGGTTTCTTTAAATATGTCATTTCCCAGAGCTGAAACTGGCACTCTTCTCCTTTTGTTAACCAGGTAACAAAGAATCATATAATCATAGAATGTCTTGGATTGGAAGACACCTCTAAAGATCATCTAGTCCAACCCCCCTACAATAAGTAGGGACATCTCACACTAGACCAGATTGCTCAGAGCCCCATCAAGCCTGACCTTGAATGTCTCCAGGGATGGGGCCCCCACCACCTCTCTAGGCAACCTGTTCCAATGATCCACCACCCTCATATTAAAGAACTGTTTCCTAATGTCCAACATAGGTCTAGCCTTCTCTAGCTTGAAACCGTTACCTTGTCCTATTGTTACAGGCCCTTGTGAACAGCTTTTCCACAGCCGCCTTATAGGTTCCTTGGACAAACATGGATTATTTGTTTCTTCTGAGCCCCAGTTTAGCAAAACACGTGTATAATTGGTTAATGTATGAATGTTTTCATTGAAGTAGATTGCAAAAAGGTAACAGTTTGTCAAATCAAGGACCACTAGCAAATAACTTATTTCTCTTGTCCTCAAGGCCTACAGTCCTTGGATAGGATTTCCCTGGTATTAAGTCCTACTCAGTCCTCGGTTCAACAGGCAGTAGATCTTGTTGACTGTTGTTATTTTTTTTAGTCTACAGTTCCTGGAGTCCTGTTTTGATAAGTATCTTATAAATACAGAGAATTATATGTAGTAAGGTAATCCTTGATGCATTTTGTTTACAGTCTAAACACTCCATAGGTGTGAAGCACATTCCGGAAAAAGGCAGGCAGAAAAACTGTATGTTTTAGACTATGGATCGACAATTAAAAGCAGTGAGGTTATCATGGCTGAAGGTGTTACTTCTTGTTCCTTGAGCCATGAATTATTACCATTGCCTTAGAAAAGTGAGAGACATGAGGAGGTCTTCTGTCAGAAATCAGTGTATTGCTGTGGGCAAATGATGCCCACAGGGCAGCAGATGCCATAAGGTTATTTGCCATATCTCTGCATCAAGTAATGAGAGTATTCCCCAGAGCTAAGGATGTATGTTTTATTATGCTTTTATATAATTTTTAGCTTGTGAGGAATCTAGATCGTTTTCTTCATTCTCTCTGCTAGCCAGTCCAAGAATATAACCGCACTTCTTTTCTTCCTTCATTGGAAGAAAAAACCCTCTGATTTTAAGGTTTTCACCTTCCTGTTTGTGAAAACTGTTCTGTGGTACCAAAGTTTGCAGTCATGAAAATAATATGTTGCATGTAATTGCAATATTCAACTCTTATGGATGTTATCTGGAAAAACATTTGCAGGCTATTTTTATTTGCTCTGGGATTAGTGTCATAGAATCATAGAGTCATGGAATCATAGAATGGTTTGGGTAGGATGGGACCTTAAAGATCATCTCATTCCAACCCCCTGCATGGGCAGGGACACCTCACACTAGACCACGTTGCTCAGAGCCCCACCTAGCCTTGAACACTTCCAGGAATGAAGCATCCACAACTCCTCTGGGCAACCTGTTCAGTGTCTCACCACCCTCACACTAAAGAATTTCTTCCTAACAGCTGATCTAAGTCTACCCTCTTCCAGTTTAAGGTCATTACCCCATTTCCTGTTGTAACATGCCTCTATAAAAAGTCCCTCCTCAGCTTTCCTGTATGCCCACTTCAGGTACTGGAAGGCTGCTATAAGGTCACAGCCTAATATATTAATGAATAAACAACTCTTAATTTTTCTTAACCTAATCCACCCAGAGAGGGAAAAAAAAATAAAATGCTCTCCTGTCCTTTCAAAAAGGTAATATTTGTGTAAGGAAAGAGTTCCTCTAAAGTCTTAATGGTCAGGTACTGTGAGATGTGGGCTCACCTAAACACCTTTTTTTTTTTTTTTTTTCTCCATTACTTAAAAAACCATACCTAGTCAGGACATAGAGCCAGAGTACATGATCTTGATTTTACTAGCTTATTATTTTTCTTAAAGATTCTTTTAATTGGAAACTGAATGTTGAAATATGTACACTAAGTCTATAAATTCTGGGTTCTCTATTTTTTGTGCTGGATGAAAACTGGCACAAGTTTGTTTTATTTGCATTTTATTTTTGTCTGAATTAGACTTTGGTTAACATCACCCTGTTATTAATAAAACATTCTTCAGAGCTATTTCTGGATAACAGAAAAATGATACAAACTTTACTTTTTGGTTTTCTAAGGAAATGCCTAAAAGCAAACTAAACTAGATGCTAATGTGACATGAACTCCAAAACATGCTAGACTTACGGTCACAGATAATAAAAAAATAAATCAAACTTGGGGATATATAAGAGTAAAATCAACAACACTGAAAATCTGATAGTATTGGAAAAAAATATACCACAAAGTAAATTTTTCATTTTCTTTCTTACCTTGTTTCTGGGGTGTTTCTTTTTGTTGGAACAAACTCCTAAGTGCGATAGTTAGGTAAGTAGGTTGGAGGCCCAGTTAAATAAAGCTATCCCTATTCTGTGAGATTTTTACAAAAGACCATAAATATGTCCCAGCAAAAGACCAAAATGAATACTTTTTATCCTTGTTCAACTTACGTTGTGTTTATTTTTTTTACTTTCTAATGGCATCTTGTACTTTATTTTTAGGAACGTATTATGGCCTTAGAAGTGGTAAGTTTCTTAAATTCATTTCCAAATAAATCAATTACATTGATGATTAATTTCTCTAAATGCTGAAAAATATTATTGTTATGTATTAAAAAAAAAAAGTTGCTGTTTTTAACTGTTATTTTACTTTTAAGAGAAGATATGATAATTTTACACTGCACCTTTCTGTTTTTACTACAGTATTTGAGCACTGTTTATATGAAATACAGTGTAATGGTGTCTTTTTTCTGTGCAGTTCAATCCACACCCCTTCCCTGGGAAGAGAAATGTCATAGGTTTGAGCCATACAAAGGAGGCTATTTTTCTACTGCTAACACTTCTAATGATTGAGGTCCATGTGATAGATCTAAGAATTCCAGTGACTGTTAGATGTGCTTTTTACATGTTTACACTGGGAGGTGCAGACAGATTCAGTTCATCTACCCACGTCAACACTGCAACTAAAAGCACAAATGAATACCATTTTAGTGAGTAATTAATAACATTTAAGAAGATACTGAGTTGGAAGGACAAAAGCCTTCACACATGTACAGGTCATGAATACAGCTAGATTATCCGGATGTCCGAGGCTACTACGTCTATCAGGTGGAGTAGCTGGGATGGGTCCAATAAGACATCACACAATAGTATGTGTCAGGCCCGTATTCTGTTTTCATTGGAAATCTAGAAAATTTCATCTAAAGATACCATCACTGAGCCAATGTCAAGGCGATAAATAAAAACATTATGAATTTGCTTGTGTAAATTATTTTTTATCCTTCCTGCTTATGCATTTCTGAAAACAGCTTCAGATTTAAAAAACATTTAAAATATATTCAGTATGTTAAAAAAGCTTGCATTCACACATAAAAGGCCCTTTGTAAATCAGAGTGCAGTGCTGGAACTCCTGCCTTGTGGAAGTAGGGAGCTAATGCTCAAATTCAGAGTCCTGGTACTTCATGTAGTGCTGTGTGCATGTAAATTGTTGCCAGAACATTAGTTCTGTTTAGGAGCATCTTGTATTCATGGTTTGCTTACATGACAACCCGTCAGGCTTGTATCTACTGCCTCCATTTCTCATGAACCATGTGTTAAAATGCCTGCAAATATCTTCTCCTTTCTGCTCCCGAAGCTGTTTTGACACAGGTGGAGGGTAATTACTTGCAAGAAGTACAACATAATGCAAATTCAATCCATGTTTTGTGACAATGTTTGTTTCATTTCTTTTCTTGAAGCATTTCTGCTTTTTAATCTCTTCTACACTAGAAAGGAAGATTACTAACTTACTGTTCAGATAAAAGAGGGAGAGAATTATTATCAGCAAAATACAAGTTTCTGTCTTAATGCAAGTTAAGAGGTAACACCTAAAGCAAGCTTGTGATGCTAAGTACTAGAGCTTGAAACCAATCACTTCTTCTGTTATTGCTGACATTGGAAGATGTGTAATGTTAAGGCCTGAGATTGCAGGCAAGAGAGATATGATTATTGCTAAGGCTGTTGAGTGCACCCAAAGCACTTATTTTACTTTTTCCATGTCAAGAAAATCACTGAGACAAAATTTTCACAGACTGTTAGTTACTTTGTATTCCTTATTTTCTGTGTATCTGACTGACTTTTGAGACTTGGTTTTCAGAAATGCAAAATTTTAGTAATTTCTAAATTCAGTGGGAACTCCAGCTATATATATTACTAAGTGTATCCAAATGTCAGATGTTAGCTGATAGTGAATCCTTGACCTTTATATATATCTGTTTCAGTTCTGAGTATGATAGTGTTCTCTCTCTTTCTTTCCTCACTTTAATGATTTAAAAAAAAACAAAACAAAACACAGAGTGATTCTTGTGTGGTCTGAATGTGTCAGGATGAACTATGATAGAAAAGCCCCTAACTAAAATAATAAGGCTAGACTTATTAAGGGGTCCTTATTATTAAAGGGTCCTTAAGAATCCTTAAATGTATAGTGTGTATGGCTGATACTTAAGCATCACCTTCTCCAGGCCCAAAAGCATTGCATCCCAACTAAGAGGAAGTCAAGCAGAAACTCCAGCTATGTAAAAGCTATCAGATTCTTCTACTGTAGTAACAGGATCAAATTTGCATCAGTTTTCTGATTAACACCCATTTTAAAGGAATTGGAAGGATGAGAATGCCCAATTCTTTTCACTGAGAGATTACGTGACTGCCTGACACTATCCACTTTAGGGCTCGCTCCCACTGTCTCTGTCTCTCAATAAGCCTTCCATGAATAAGCAAATCTTGCTATTATTATGACTATTGCATGGCTGTCATATTTGGTATGTATGAATGCTTAGGAAATCTTCAATCTAAGGGTTAATACTTTTTCTTCCCTTGGGTTGATTCTGTAGTGTCTTGCCAAAACTACCATCACATCAAAGGCCTTCTGGTCCTCCCAGAACACAGCATTCTTTGATCTTATAAAAATGACGGGAGAAGAGCAGCAGTCTGAGATCCTCTGTCCTGCCTGCCTCGCCCTTTCCTTTCCTTTCATCAGCAAGCCAGTGTGTCACTTGCCTTTGTTGGGGGTGGAGAACTTTCCCAAAGTTCCCCAAGTCCTTCCTCTGGTCTCTCCCAGTGAGTGCTGCCTGACGGTGCTTGCAGCCAGCTGCTTCTTTTCTCCTGATGCTCACCATCCTCCTTCCTTCTTGTCTACTCTCCCTACATATTTATTGCTTTTTTTGAATACCCTGCTTCCTATCCATCTTCTGCCCTCTGCCATTTGATGCTTTACTTGTTCTGTCAGTTTTTTACTGATACATATCCACCTTTAATTTTCTTCCAACATTTAAATTTTTTTTATTCTGTAAAAGAATTTATTTTGCTGTTAGGAGTATTATTTTTTTGACAATTGCCTTTCTCTCCTATTCATACTTATTTTTCACTTTCTGGATAGTACTAGGATTTGGAGTGGGAGCAAAATATGCTGGAATAAATAGCTTTAGAAAATTCTGCATAATTTCTTCTAATTTATAGATTTCATTTAAGGCTGTCTACTTGTACAAAGTCCATGAGCTAAACATATACATGTATATTTCTAATGTCACCTCACTAATCCCTCTTCCCTCAAAAACTGATATATAGCATTATTTTTTTAAATTACTCCCAAATAAAATAGTTCTTCACCATCTTGGAAAAATTAATTACTAAATTAATGTAAGAAATAAAATAACATTGTTAAAAATATGTATATACTTGCCTTGAAACCTTTAATACTTAATTTGCAGATCAGCATAATCAAGACTATTTTATTGTGTATTTGTTAAAGAATGTTTAAAATATTGGCCTAAGAATTTATTGCTAAATTGCATGTAAGAGGCAGGTTACAAAATGTAGGTAACTGTAAACTTTATTAAACTGCTCTTTGTTTGAGATCAAGATGACAGATTTAAATTTATTTACTGACAAACAATCATGGTGCATGTCTGACAACTCAGTTAAGTAACTTCAATATTTGTCCAGTGGTGATATCCCAGATGTGATAAATAACAGATTCACAAAATTATTGTGGTTGGAAGGGACCTCTGCAGATCATCCGATCCAAACCACTGGTCAAGGAGGGTCATTCAGAGCTAGTTGCTCAGAGCTGTGTCAAGACATTGAATTGACTTTTGAATATTTCCAAGAATGGAGCCTTCACAACCTCCCTAGGCAACCTGTACTAGTCATCCTCACAGTGAAAATGTATTTCCTATATTCAGGCAGAACCTCCTGTGTTTCAGTTTGTGCATCTTGCCTCTTGTCCTTGAAGAAGGCACCACTGAAAAGAGCCTGACTCCCTCTTCTGTACACCCTCCCTTCAGATATTTGTACATATTGATGATTTCTCCCTGAGCCTTCTCCAGGCTAATCAGTCTCTGCTCTCTTAGCCTTTCCTCAGAGGAGAGATGTTCCAGTACCTTAAATAATGTTAGTTGCCCTTTGCTGTACTGTCTCCAGGATGTCTCTCGTGCACTGGGGAACCCAGAACTGGACCCAGCACTCCAGATGTGTCTCACCAGGGCTGACTAGAGGAGGGCGATCACCTCACTTGACTCCTCCTAATGCAACCCTTACATTCTTTCTGTAGAAAGCTCCTTGCGATATTGTGAAGATGTGTTCCCTATGTTGCAAATAGTGAACAGTTTGGCAGATTTTAATAAGCTAAAATCCTTTCAGTTTTCCATTAGAGAAAGTAAGAAGAGAGAGAATGAATCTTTATTACAAAAGACTGTAATTCTTTAGATCTCTTAAGTTCTTTTTCTTAGTTTAACTAGGAATAGTAATATACAGTGGTCTTCATTATTTTTATTCTTTAATGCATGTAAGTGTAATTTTAAAAGCAGATCATACATGTTTCATCCACAGAATTCTCTTCAGAAATGTTGGCCTTTCATCTGTGGTATTTGTACCTATGAGTTCTTCCACAAGATACAGGAAGCTTATAACTTGATTAGTAAGACAGAAATACATGTGGTATTGTATGAGGTTGTTTGTTAAGTTAAAGTTTAGTTTGACAGCAGAATGGTGACTAAAATGTTTCTCATGTGCTACTAGGTCCTTAATTTTAGATTTAAATTTTTTGTATTTGATCAAATTATAACCTTAGGAAGACAGACATCAGTTACAGTTATAGATGCTACCACAGATATATTATTTTTATTTTCATTGTGCATCTTTTGATTATAATTTATAAGCCAGATGCCTAATTTTTTTTTTCCTACTCTGACACTAATTTGCTGTGAATCCTTGATTCAAACATTTTTTCTTGTATTTCATTTTTTCTTAGCTGTAAGACTGAACAATATGTCTTCTTCCATGAAGGCTATATTAATTAAATTTTTATAGTGCTTTCTGGAAGGCTTGATGAAATACTGCTGGAATATAAAACATTGATGTAAATTGCATTTAATGATTTTTAGCCTGCGAAGCTCGAGAAAGTTGAAGATAACATTTCTTTATTAATGACAAGGAAGTCTTTATACCTTTTATGAATGTGTGCCCACTAACTTTGTGTTACTTTACACACT